ATTTATGGAAGGGTGCAATGTAATTGCAGTCACACTTGTATTTTGTTTGCGATTGCAATTTGAACTGGTGATCATTCCGTACACGGTCTGAAGCTATCGGGATAAATGATTGAAATACCTAGGTGAATTGCGCCACCCATGTGCCGATGAGTTTGAATTTTTCCGCTTTGCGATAAAAAAGCAACTGTTTTGCAAGTAGGACGGCTTCCGTTGACTAAACGTTTATTGTCATCTCAAAGGGCTGCGACCACCTCCCCGTCCCTCCTCGACCCCTCCCCTTTATTTACACGACGGAGTCCCGTCCCTCACCGCCGACTGGTCACGTGATTGGCGTCGCCCGAGGCCCAGCCCAAGGCCGTATATAGAGCCCAGCCGACTGACCCGGAGCGCGGTAGGCGTCATGCCATGCTGCTTTAATCACTCACCACATCGCGGCTACTGTTCAGAGAGCCGTGATACCAGAAACGTCGTGGCGGAGCGGTTAAGCGTTAGGCTATGGATCGCGGGTTCGCGGGTTCGGTCCGCGCCGGGGTTGTCCGTTTTCCACAGACTGGTTCTGGCCGGCTCAGGCGAGATGGATATATCTTTTGAGGTTATGACCTGACGAGCGCTATGAATATAATCGACATTCGTTGACTCTTGTTCGGTCATAAGATATTAGCCGATTATATGTTTGTGTATGGAAATATCTCTTTTCTAATTCGCAAAAAGTAGCCGATTCACTTTATCATCATATAACTCACTTGACGTCATTGCACTGGCAAGTGAGTTGCTAGAAATGTGACCTCGTCAGAACCATTTTGCAGGTTGTTAAAAGGACAGACAAGTCCATTGGCTGCGGTGACTATGCAACCTGCCCTGATCATGTAAACGGCATTGTGACTAGTTCAGCCACGAACACATTCCGCATTTTCCTAGAAAGAATTATCGGCACGCTCGGTGCCGCGGAGGGTATGCCAACCTTACAGACCCGCACTGCCCAGCGCTCCGCTAGCCCGGAGGCGGTTGGCGAGGCTGACCCCACTGACCTCGCTCCGCGACCAGACTCGGTCACTCATGCCACAACCGAGAGGCGCCAGCCTCGACGCGGCGCCATTCATGCTGCCTCCGAACACGGTGATTGGTTTGCTGCAGAGTCACGTGGTTGGGGCAATGGGGCATCAGTGGCGTAATCAGGAATTTAGTTACCAATCTCACCAACAGATGGCTCTGACCGACGATTTTTAAATACGGAGTGATCTAAAGGTAGGTGACATAATACGAGCTTACAGCTGCAATGATGATGGCACATGTAGGCTACATTCCAAGTTTCATGATAATCTGACAAATGGTTCCCAATATACAGATGCAAACTCTAACCACTACGGATACCCCACATTACTTCAGCGGTGACCTGTACCTACTTAAGGCTGGACTTCACTGACCGAGAGAAGGAAAGCGCCAGGGACGGCGCCACAGGGGGGGCAGGGGGGCAGTCGCCCCCCCAACTCTGAACACTGGGGCCCTCTTTCAGCCAGCAGGTCAGCTGTATGGACGGAATACTCTCTGGCTGTGCAGAAAGAAGACTTCTGGGCAGAGCTGTAGAAATGACTTCAGGAGTGGGGAATCAAGCCAAAGGGGGCCTTCTCAAGGTGCCGCCGCCAAGATGAAACTTACGGGCTTTGGCCCATGTTTTTGGAAAAGGGTCCAATATAGCAAAAAAGGTGAAAGAAAATCATTTATTTTGTATCTTGGGTGATTGTGGTCCTGTCCTATCTTTCCAGGCTGTAGAAAGGGCCCGCCCGGGTCAAAGAGGGCCCATGCCACGTCTGAGAGGACCCATTCAATATATGAAAGGGCCCAGGCAAGGTCTGGGAGGTACCATATTATGCCTGAGAAGGAGAGGGTCCATATCAGTCATGACAGGGCCCGCAGCGGTGCTGAGATGGCCCGTGGAAGGAGTGCGAGAGCCTGTAAAATGCCTGAGAGGGCCCATACCAGCCGTGACAGGGCCCATATCAGTACTGAGAGGGCCCACAGCAGGGCCCATAACAGTACTGAGGGGACCACCACAAGTTATGTGAGGGCCCATACCCTGACATATTACTGGGGGTTATGTCAATGGCAATCATGGAAGGGCCCCCAGCAGTACTGAGAGGACTATTGCAATGACTAGGAGGGCCCGTACCATACCTGAGAGGGCCCATGAGGGCCTGCAGCAGTACTGAGAGGGCCCTTGCAAGAACTGGGAGGGCCCGTATCATGCCTGAGAGGGTCCATACCAGGCCTTAGAAGCCCCCTAGTAGTATAAAAAAGGTCCATTTCAAGCCTCTGAGGGTCCCTACCAGTCAAGAAAGGGCCTTTGCCAGGCTCCAATGGCCATGACAAACTGAGGATCTACCGAACACCAGAAGGCCCATACCAGGCCTCAGGGGCCCAAACCAGGCTTCAGAAGGACCATATCAAGTCTCAACGTGCCAAGCCAGGTCTCTGAGGCCTCTACTAGGTCTTAGAAGTTTCATAATAGACTTAATGGGGACCTGAAAGGTTTCCGAAGGCCCAGACCAGTCCGCAGAGGGCACCTACAAGGCCTCAGAAGGCCAATTTCAGGCCGCATAGACCGTAACAGACCTCGGAAGTCCCGTATCAAGCCACAAAGTGCCTATACCAGGCTTCAGCATGTCCACAATAGGCCTAATGGGGCGTAACAGGTCTCCGAATGCCCATTCGAGATGCATTAGGGTGGGTGTCAAGGTCACCGGAAGGTCATGGCAGGTCATTGACCTTTGATGACCTCGGTTCACTTTTTTCGAGTTTTACATGTATCTAGGCTAGTTTTTGGAGCTGAATTCGAATTTAGCAACCATTTGAACATTTACGAAGTAATTGTGGTGCCTTCATAACATGTTACGAACTACGAAGCTGTCAGAGGCGGTTGCCTTCTACTACGAATACCCGGCAAAACCCTTACTGGTTGAACTGACCTGACCTGACCCGACCTGGTCTAAATGCATGAAGACATCATCTATGATCATAACTAACATGAGATTCGTGATCACCACCGCGAAAAACCTCACAGCAGCCACCCTTTACGACGTTCTAACATGTCCCGATTTTCCGACTTTTGGATCATTGACCTGACCTGGAAGGTTAGCGATGACCAAGGACCTTAAAATTGGGTAGGTATCATCGGCTTCCTCTCGTCACGGGCAGCACGCTCGTTTTTTCTGCGAAGGTCCTAGCTTGATCAGGGGCGAAACGGCAAGGGGGGCCCAACGGACTCCCGCCCCCTATACGTTCGTGGCTGGAAAAACACCAATACGGGCGAGGGTTAACCTTCGCATGTGTGCAGCGCTTGCCAGCTTCTAATGTGTATGGGGGGGGGGGGTCGGTTGGACCCCTTTGCCGTTTGGCCCCTGATCGAGCTAGAGCTTCGCGAAAAAAAAACGAGCGTGTTGCCCGTGACGAGAGGAAGCCGATGATACCTAGTTTTAAGGTCCTAGGTCATTGGTTGACCTTCCAGGTCAGGTCAATGACCCAAAAGTCACGAAAATCGGGACCTGTTAGAAAGTCGTAAAGTGTGGCTGCTAAGGGGTTATTCGCGGTGCTGCTCACGAATATCGTGTTAGTTTTGATCTCAGATATCTTTAAGCATTTAGACCAGGTCGGGTCAGGTCAGGTCAGGTCAACCAGTAGGGGTCGTGACGGGTATTCATAGTACGTGTCAACCGCCTCTGACAGCTTCGTAACATGTTACAAAGGCACCAAAACAACTTCGTAAATGTTCAAATGGTTTCTAAATTCGAATTCAGCTCCAAAAACTAGCCTAGAAACATGTAAAACTCGAAAAAGTGAGCCGAGGTCACCAAAGGTCAATGGCCTGACCTGACCTTCAGGTGACCTTGACATCCACCCAAATGCATGGAAGCAACATCAAATCACATGTTTGAACGTTTGAAGCCACGAAAAGCTTGCAAACGCGCGGCTAATGCGAGCCGACATACGCCGAATCGCGATTCCGGCCAAACATGGTCTCGGAAAATAGGTCACAGGTCAAAGGTCACTTGGGTCAGGGTCATGAGATTTTAAGAGCAGGTGTAAAATTAATCAAATCGAGGGTACTGAAAGTTTCGTCTTGATCGGCCGCTTTTTGCGCGAGTTATTTGCGAAAACCCGTGGGGGGTCCATCCGACCCCCCCCCCCTACACATGCGAGGGTTAAGAGTGTGTCTTTTAACACAAAAGTTATTGTGTAGAAGGCAACGGTTGTGGGAATGGTAGGTCAAGGGTCAAGGTACAAATAAAGGCTTGCACAGTATTGGTGGTATTGACGATATTTCGGAAAGTTTGGGCCCCCATCTTGTTTGGGCCCTTTTTCTGAAAACCTGCCCCCGCAAGGCGAAATCCGTGGCGCCGTCCTGGAAAGCGCTCAACTTCGTGTTATTACAAGTTTTTATTTGATCCTTTTTATTTGATCCACCATATAGCAAATCCACCATTCCCACTGCAGGACAACATAACACACAAAGACACTACATAATGCATGTCCACAAATATTTCCAAAGGCACGCACTTCGGCCTACTATAGATTTCTGATTCCTTGTACCACACGAATTTGGAACACTACCTGAAGAAATGCGCACAGATTGCAGACCTAATACCTATGTTCTTTGATAAACATTTAAAAGCCCTATTAGCGCCACTCCGCTGACACCTTCAGACTTTTTCCTGGGATCATTGACCGGTTACCTTTTGCATAACAAACTACGGCTCAACGTTTCAAATCTTAAAGCCCATCAATTTTCTGTGCAAAATGTGACTCCCTTCCTGCCCGTGAGGACACCTGTTTAAAGACACAAGACATTTCCTGCTCGTCTGTCCACTCTTTAAAACCCAACGAGAGAACCTCTTACAATCCCTCTTCCAATCCCTCACCCTCTCACCCTCTCACCCTCTCACCCTCTCACCCTCTCACCCTCTCACTCTCTCACTCTCTCACTCTCTCACTCTCTCACTCTCTCACTCTCTCACTCTCTCACTCTCTCTCTCTCTCTCTCTCTCTCTCTCTCTCTCTCTCTCTCTCTCTCTCTCTCTCTCTCTCTCTCTCTCTCTCTCTCTCTCTCTCTCTCTCTCTCTCTCGGCGGCGGCAGATAGGGTAGCGTTATGCCGGCCGGTCACCGGGACCATCAGTCAAAGCTGACGTGTTGGACAACCAGCCGGTGGTGACGCGCTTGGAGCCAGCGCCGGTTGTTGTGCAGCAGCTGCCGGCCGGGCCCGGCCGCGTACAGACTGGAGCTCAGCTCCCGCAGCAGTTCGCGCGGCACCACGGCCGGCCGCAGAGCCACCAGCCAGCGCACGACCGGGCTGCACGGCGGCGTGGTCAGACTGCCGCCGTAGGCCAGCACCGACCGGACGGCGCGCCGCAGCAGCGCCGCCAGTGGCCGCAGGTCGGCCGCCACCGTCAGCCGGCTGCCCACCGCAGCCAGCGCGGCCAGGCGGCCCTGCAGGCCCAGCGGCGGCCAGCGCAGCGTGTCCGGCCCAGCGGCGCCGCGCCCCTCCAGCAGCACGGCCAGCACGGCCAGCCCGTCCGACTGCCGGGCCGCCGCGCTGCCGTTGGCGAACTGACTGCCGAAGAAGACAAAGTGCGCCTCGGCGTCTGCCAGGCGGCTGCCCAGCTGGTGCTCGGAGCCGGCGCGGCCGCTGGCGTTGCCCCAGTGGAAGTGCAGCTGCTCCAGCCGGTAGGTACCGGACAGCGGTGCGCCCTCGGCGCTCAGCGTCACCAGCGGCGCCGTGCGCCCGGCGCCGCCGGCCTCCAGTCGCAGCTGCAGAGTGTGGCCCGTGTTGGTGGCGTGCACACGGCCAGCGTGCAGCCGCTGGGCGAAGCTGAGCCGCGGACGGCTGCCCAGCTGCAGCAGCTGGGCGTCCAGCCGGGTGGGCGACTGGCGCGGACCGCCACAGGCCGGCCACCGCAGCGGCCACAGCTGCTGCTCGGCGTACGTCCATGGCACGCCCTCCATGGCCGGGCCCGCAGCGGCGATACAGGCCATAGCGGCCAGTAGACACCAGCAGCACAGCATCAGCATCTGTACCACAGAACAGCAACGCTGAATGCGCCATCACACACTACAGCGTACGGCAAAGGTCTTGTCCTCTACCTGTGCCAACACTCCCCGGTCCCTAATCGTTTCTACCTTTGGCCTAAGGAATAACTATTCTGGAAGCACCCCTGCATTGCACGGTTCTTGGCCCAGTGACTTGAGGTCGCAAACAGACCTCGGGTCACGGAGCACAGAGCAAAAAAAAAAACATTTCAGTCTTTGAGCAGCTGAACCAGGCAGTCGGCATGCTCCAGGCCGAAATGACATGGCATGCCACTGCTGATCAGTTGGGACATCTGCCTGCACAGTTGGTGGGTTATGGCGCATTCAAGTTGGTGGAGTTATGGGTCATGAAAGGTCAACGGTTTTCGCCGACATTGCGGGATTTAAATGCCCATTGCTCTGTAAGTAAGAGGGCGGGGAAGCTGCGGTAGGCGCCATTAGAGAGGCAATGGATGTAGGTTTTATAGAAAAATGTTTATATGTCGATGACCTTTCAATGACCTTTGACCTGACTAGATCAAACTGGGTATTTTCAAATTTGACCGTGTTCTGTACCTCAGATGTTTACGAAAAATTAGTAGAAGATATATCAGAGTAAGCAGTAAGACAGTAAGCAAGGCAAAAAATATTTCTGGGGAACTTCTAACTTGTAAAGAACTAAATCATCATATCAAGGGGGATAACGACAACTCAAGAAACTCAAGATTACCAACCGATATTTATTTTAAAATTACTTTTAAATACACAAAGCTTTCGGTCACATATGACCTTGATCACTGTGTTTCATAATGTTTCACAATTATACAAACTTCGCAAAAATGATACAAAAAAAATGATACAAAAACTGGCGGTAGGCTAGGAATTTTCATGCGCTTCACATTAAGAATTTTAGACGGTTTTTGTATCATTTTTGCGAAGTTTGTATAATGGGGTTGGGAACTCGATTTTTTAAGAATGCATGAAAATGATCAAACTATTTTCACAGAATTTATGGTGCATACCATTGCCTCATAAAATCAATATGCTGAGAGAAATGAGGGAAGAAAGATAGGAAAATTGTTTTGAAAAGTTCTTGAAAAAAGATGCTCTTGATGCTGTTACGTCACATGTCACCTTCTGCGGTTGACAAATAATGGCGCATCTGGCGCACCACAGATTACATGTTATATCAATGGGTGAAAGATGTTGTTTGTTTCACTCTGCCATTCGCGCTGTTTTTAACTTTAAATTATGCTAAAACATTTACGGATGAAATGTTCAGTGTCAAAAATTGATGTGTCTGCCGTGTACTATATTCCCACTTAACATTGAGCGCGTGATAAACATTTTATATACCTCGAATTTTCAAATGATAAAGATGATGAATCGGAGGATGCTGAAAAGCAAAAGCTCATTCCAATATTTGGACTACTTTACGATTAAAATGTTTACATTCCTGTCATCTTATTGATCATTTATTTGTTCTTTTTTATGAAAATAACTTAAGGCGTTGAGAACCGAGGTAATTTCTATCTACCGTGCCTTAACTTACCAGCAACAGCAATCTATCTACGCCCTACGGTGGTAAGGGAGACTGTGAAAGAAGCGTAAGATGGATTCTAAACAATTCTTTTGTGATATATGAAGGGCAAAGTGCAGAGAAGAGCGTACAAGTCCTGTTTTGTGCCAGGCTGTTGCAGTAGCACTTATGAAACTCCGAAAACGATCTTCGTTCATGTCCCGAACAACATTACCCTGAGGAGATGATCGTCTGCAATAGCAGGAAGAGCTGATGCAAGTACTTTGAAATCCACTATCAAGTCGGTGCTATTGTTGTAATGATCACTGTGAGGTGAGATATTTTGTGCAAGGGCTGAGTGTAATGCCCAGGAGATAACCTCCATTCGCCCCCTGACCGGTCAGGGTTATAAAATTTGAGTGGATGGCGGTCCGTTTGGGGTTCAGATGTCAATTGTATTTTGTTACTGTCAAACAACACATGTTATGCTGGCAGCGAATGTGTGTAACGTCGGTTTTCGAAACAGAAGTTAGAACTGTAACGGCAGAGTGAGTGCTTGCTGGTCTCATCGTAAGTATTGTAAATGTTGTAAGCAAAAGCATTGTCAATATTGTAAGTATTGTGAGCATTGATGTATGGTAGATATCACCTCACATGATCTCGGCTCAGATAACCCTCCCCGGTGTCCCTGTCAGTAAATGGCACCTGGATCATTACAGATAAGATAATTTGTCATAATTCTTAAAGAATTGGGTGGTTTTGACTCGTTTACTCGAGGTGCAGGTCGCATTTCAATACTTTTCCATAGGCTTGCAATGTAAAGGTCACGACTCTGACCTAACCTCAGGTCACAGATCAAAAATTCTGAGATATACAAACGACACATACTGCAGGTACTGTTTTGAAGACTTGATGAGAGGAAATAACTTCGTGAAAAACTCAAGCTCTGACGTGTTTGCAAACTTTTCTGAGGTGGCGTCAACAAACCCGCTCTGGTTACCTGACCTGACCTGACCCGGCATTTTTTTTTTTTTGCTGAGATGTGCGCAATGAGCATTTAGGAAAAGTCACCAAATATGAGCTGAATGTCTCGCGGCGTTTGGCAATTGTACAAGAAAATCCTGAAAGGCCTCCCCGTCCGAAATAGGGTTAATGTGTATATGAAGAGTTGCAGATGCCAAACATACCCAGATCCAAGACTGCAGTTCCCAGCGCCGCTGCAACGTTTTTAAAACAAACATACATAGGACATACAAACATGTTTATTTGCATCTGTTTTGGATAATAGCAACTCATGGCGCCATCACCCGCGATAACTGTTAGGATTTGAGATATATTTTTATTTAGGCCATTAGTTTGGCTGTAATGTTTATTAATATTAGTTGGGCGGAGTTTGGTAGTTTTTTTATTTAACTTGTGGTATGTTGTGCTGATTGCGGGTTGTTCAAACCTTTCAAATGTAAGGACCTTATTGAACTCAACCCTACTCCTACACTACCCTACATACGACTGGACGCTTTCCAAGCCCACAAGCATCACGACGCCGAGATGGAATGTAGCCGGGAAATCACCCTCGCCATCTGCTCTAGTCTGCTCTAGAGCTAATCGTGTGGGGCGGCGTGTGGGGCGCCGCTTAGCCTATGGGGGTGCACTTCTAGTGGATGGGGGACGGGGGTGCACCTGCACCCCTTTCATATGGAAAGTTACTTCCCTGATTACAGCTCCCCGTATTGCACCTAATCAGGGAACGGCCAGCAAACGAAGGAACTATTTCTGGATGACAGGCGAATAACCGCTCACGCAAGGAGCGGAGCTCCGCCCCGTCCAAAGTGGCCAACAAAGCAGAGACAGAGGCAGCATCACATCTTCCATCAAAGAACTGGTTTCTGGCTTGGAAGATGAGCTCCATCTTTGCATCCGAGTCGGTGCTGTCAGGAATCAGCTGGTCTAATGGAGTGAGAGTAGTGAGACGACTAGCTATTGTATCAGAGCTGCCTGGTCTTCGTAGCATTTGCACCGATTCTTCTCGATCGGACTCTGAATTCTGTCCCTCCTGCGTATTACTTGAGGCATTGCTTTGTAGCTAAGTCTTTGTCAGAGTTTCATTATCCATGCTTTGCAAACAGTGCCATAACAACACAGTTAATTAATCACCAAGCTTCTTTGCAAGTTCCAATACAGTTGAATCGCACGCGATTTGAGTGCAAAAATCAAGAAAAGTGCCAACATGTTCCCGTAAAATAATTTGAATATTGACCTAAAAAAATGAGTAATTTCCAGATAAAATAACAGCGAAATCAGTTTTCGCTTGCCAATAAAACTCACAGATATTGAAGCTCCATTATTAAAGGAACATTTTAGTATATGCCATTCTTGATAAAACTTCTTAGCCACGCAATACCAGCGCAAAATAAAGAGACACTGAAAACACGACCAATCACTCCGATTTACCATAGGAAAATACATAGAAAATGTATGTCTCAACTGCGCCAAATATACAGACAGTTATATACCTACATGTGACGTCATGATTAGCCCGACCAATCAGAAGCAAGTTGTTTTCAGCCACAAATAATTAATTTCTGAACTAACTAGGCATTTTTTTAACAAAGTGATTTTAAATTAAATCATTAAAAAATCTGAGCTTTTTTATTTTACCAAAACATACAGAGCATGCAGATAGGTCCCAACCCTATTGTGAAACATTGTGAAACACTTTAACACAGTGATCAAGGTCGTATGTGACCGAAAGCTTTGTGTATTTAAAAGTAATTTTAAAATAAATATCGGTTGGTAATCTTGAGTTTCTTGAGTTGTCGTTATCCAACTGTCATGGATAATTCATCATATCAAGCCAAACCCGATATACGAAATATGCCCTGAGGCTATTTTTTATTTATTTATTTATTTATTGCGGTTCTTGGCGATATCCACATCGTGGCTCTTAGAGCGCCGCGTCAGTACATGGGCGAGACTTATGACAGTTCATACAATAAAATACAAGAATAGTGATTAAAATGGTAAGTACACGCAAAAACACATTTGGTATGAACACATGGGTACGAGTACAACCCACATGCAAAAGCGAAAAACGATAAAAATGATGTCATAGAGTCAGTGGTTAAGATCAGCTACACAATGAAAGACAGAACCTTTTTCTTAAAGTCATTGAGAGACTTGCACTGCCGAGTGGCAGGGGGAAGAGAGTTCCACTCTTTTACAGCCCGATAGGGAAACGCTTTTTTCACACACTCTAGACGGGGGTGTTTTTCTGCACTAGTCTGCAGCATGGTTTCGTCGCATGTGGCCCTGGTACGTTGCTGAGATATTTCAGACCGGCGTTTGATGAGACTCCGCATAGCTTGCGGTCCGTCGGGCACGTTAATGATGCGATGCACGCATGTGCAGTCCCGAAAGGTGACGGTTTCACCAAAGCTTAGCCAATTTAGCTGCCTTCGGGATGGAGTCACGTGATCACGCCTGC